ATTCGGAAAGAATAAACCAGTTTTATTAAGTAAAGACTTGTGTCGTTAAAGTTTCGTTGGAACGAAGTTACGAAAAAAATCAATTAACAAACGGAGACGTAACAATATGTTCAACTCTGACAGCTTTGAGAACCAAACGATTGAAACTTTTAGATCCTAAAGTAGGGTTTTTTATTGTTGGAGTTCTCTATTGATCTGTAGTTTTTTTGTTTTGTTTTTTATAATTTTTCTACATAATGTCTCTAGAATAGCTTGTGTTCTCAATGAGTGTTGTCACTTTAAGATTTTTATTTAATCTAAGCTTGTTAATATATTCCCCAGGATTTCTATTTCTGCTTTCATTGAAGTTTCTGATGCTCACAAAAATGCTTACATAACTTGGCGTGAAGTTTCAAGTATTTTCATGGTATTAGTTACCAGACAAACATAGGTATCACGGAGTAACTTTATATAACCAACAATACTCTATAAACCCCTAGACAGTGTATATAATCTATTTCATGACTCACGTTGAAATAAACATGCTTTTCTTGCTTAGGCCTACTTTTCATATAACGTTTACTTGTATATAAACAGAGAGCAATGTCTCTTTAATTTTTTACAGTAGAATTAGCAACACAATCACGATCGATAAAAATAATATGATACTCGTAAAATTATTGTTATCAACAGTTAACGAAATTTATTTTTTAAACAAAATAAGCATCAAATTTGGCGCGTATGTCTGACAGAATAATAAGGTATACATCCTCTCAGACATAAAGAAAATAGTGCAATAGGTTTATTAACTTATTATCTAGATTACTGGTTCAAATATATATTTGGTTATTTTAAAAATATCACATAAGATAGCTTTACATTAAATTAAAATTACAAAACGTCAATAACAGTTTCAGATAATATGATGTGGGCTGATTATTATGTCGCACTACCTAAAGTTGTAGAGTAAGCTGTAGTGTGGAAGAGATGCCATACAACAACTAACGTAGACCTGCATGCTCGAGCCGAGGCCATTGAAAATAAGTAAAATGGCGCGAGCTCGGTTTCCTGGCAGACCTGGCCAAAGAGTTGGCCGAAACTATGTTAATTATTTCACAGATGAAACGAAATTTCATTTAGACTTGACATCCATTACTAGCATTATGCCTATTTCAGAAAACATCAAGAAAGGCTTACAACACTTCTACGAACAGTTTGGAACGTCGGGTGAAGTAAGTAATGTTTAGTTTTACAATGAAATTAGGCCTAACATTATTGGTATTTTCAGACTTGTGAGGAAATAATGAAGCTGGAAATAATATTTTTCAATGTCAGTTTATTATTCTCTTGGTTCTTTTTTAATATGCAAATAACTGTAAAAAGTCGTAAATCATTTTGGAGTGAAAATTATAAAAATGAAACAAGTAAACAAGTTATTACTGAGCTACCTTGACTCGCGCACTCAATTTAGTCAATACTGTTACTACTACTATTAGTATTACTACGGTATAGTATTTTACAATATTTATGATAGTAATTAATGGTAATAAACCTAACTTAACCCACAGTAGATAAAAAAGTGTTTAATTAAACATTATCTCGCATCAGCTAAAACTAACTGGTGCTGACCAAGCACAACTTTTTGAAATTGAAGCACACTGTTTAGTGTTTAATAATTATGCAGTAACTGAGTAAGTATATTTATAGCTAAGTAAATATTTCTGTTACTGTGCTGTTAATCCATATAACTATAAGTAAAGACAAATTGAAAAGTAGTATATAAAGAGGTATGTAGATTTAAGATTAGAATTTAAAAACGTTATTTTAAAACGAATGACATTACTAAAAATTAAAAAATTAAATTGCTTATGTAACTGAGAAACAATCTCATAGTTATAGTAATACTAATAGCCCAGATGATTTTGGAGAATGGTCTCTTCTTCATTAAAACCTTTTCTCTTTGTGTATAGTGACCATTTGTTGAAAGTATCCCAGTTTTTGGGCCATGTTTTGACTCATAGTCACATTATAATGTTCCACAGTACTTATTTAAAAACATTAGTGTGTTAGTGTTTAAAGTACTACATAGTGTATGTATATTACTTTACAATGACTAGTATATAATAAAATAATTATAGTTTCAACATTTCTCACTTCAATTTATTTTAGTGACTTTGAAACATGGATGCAATAATAATTTTTAAAAGTTAGTGATGTTTGTTCCAATACATCAGTTTAATAATACACCTATACCAAGGAACAAGATATAGGTTACCGGTAAAGAGCAGAAGTAAAAAGCAAAATTACAGGAGGCAATTTGATCCATTGAGTTCACATCTCTTTCAGCAAGACATCAGAAGCATGATAAATTTATACTTTTTTAATTTATTTAATTGCACAATAAAAGTTTAAAATGAAATGCTATAGTTTCATTAGTTAAAGCTAGATAAAATCCAAACTATCAGTTTAATTTGTAAGTGACAAAATTTTAAGGGTCTAAATTAATATATTGATTTGGACTTATGCAATTATTAAAACGTGTATTTCTGAATCTTATTGTTTTTTTAATAAGAGCATTGAAGTGGCAGAAGGCCATTTGAATCCCTTTGGAGTCATTCCTCCACTTATCAGTGCAACTAAATCAAAACTGATTGTAGTCTTTTATATCCATATATCTGTATGGAGAATGTTTATAAGAATTTAAACTAACAAACACCTTATCACTGGGCAAACCATTTCTTAAGCTTGAAAAGTGAAATAATTTTTCAGAACAGGTTTGGATGTCAGCCTTCAAAACAAACACATTACATACAATATTAAAAATTTGTATTTCCAACATTTTCATCTCACCATTCAAATAGACCACCCATGAAAAAGCTGTCAAAAACCTTAACAACTTGTAAAACATGAATTAACTTCTCTCTTGGTCTTTAATGACAGAAGCAAAACATTTAAAAAATTTTAATCATATCTTTATAGGCAAAATTTATTAAACTATACGTAATTCTAAGCCTACCCCTATCTCTGTTCAATATGTTGATTTACTTTTTTTTCAAATATTGCTGTAAGGGGACTAGAATGGCACAAAGTATTCTAAGTAAGGCCTCACCAGCTTTTGCTAGGTTACAGTAATCTTCGTTTATTTAATTTGCTTTCTTTTGATAATCAAAACTCTTTATACTTTTCAAAATCTCAACTGCAGACTACAGGATTTTAATAAGAATCACTTTCAGTGTTTAAGTACCAATGCTTTTCTAGTTCAAGAAACAAGTCCTTTTCAAAGCACTATATAAAATATGTAACTTTTGCCAATTTTAAAACTCATTTTCTGTGTTCTGACCTAGTCAGCATGAGTGTCAAGGTTTGTTTGAATATGAAGCATTTTGAATTTAACTAGCACTTTCCAATATCTTAGTGTCATCATCAAATTGTGAAATGTATTAATACCAAAAAAGCTTTTCAAATAGTTGACAGATATCAACGATAAAGATTCCAAAGCTGACCGTGGTGTACTTTACTACTTATTTTTCCAGTTGACGTGGTAACTATTCGCTACTTCATTCTTCTTTCCACTGTTTTTATATTGCATTCACTTCTTAATGTTTCTACTAATTTCATGGACATTCAATATGATCTTATGTATTTAAAAAAAGAAATATATATATATATATATATATATATAACACACACACACACACACACAGAGTAACAATTTAGATGCCCTCTTTGAAAAAATGAAAGCTCTATCAAAAAACTCCAGCAAGTTGGTGAGGCAAGACCATTTTTTAAAATCACAGTGAGAATCATTAATTAAATGACAACTTACAAATGATTTTCATTTGTGTTATGTCAACAAACAGTGGGTAGATGCCTGAGGTTTGTAGAAATGTTACTGTTTTGAAGGGGTGATAAGATGTGCTCTTGAAATTATGGGCAAGCTAGCCTTACTTCTGTAGTGGGAAAATTTGTAAAGAGCCTGATAAAAGAAACTTTGCAAACTTATCTAGTGAAATATGATAACAAATAAAATCAACATGAATTCAAAGAAAGGAAAATTTTATTTATCAATCTGTTATAATTTTTTTGTGGGATGATGTTGCATACTATATGGGTGATTTAAAGGATGTGAACTTGGTGTATTTAGATTTTCAGATAGCCTTTAATAAGGTGTCACACAAGGATAAACATAATTTCATTACTATTTGCTAATTTAATTTTGATTTCTAGTATTCTTGTCTTTTATGCAGTGATAATAAACTTATTTATTTTTATACTTTGGGGGATTTTTTGTTCCAAATTCTGTATTTTAGCTTTTTTGTTATGAAATGTATACTTTGGTGAGATTTCTGTTTTTAACATGGTTAGATATGTTACCTTTAAATATTTTTCTATAGATTATTTTAATGGCAATGATAGTTAACTTTCATTTTAACTTAATGCAACTTGTAACTTCTGTAAAACAAACAATGTCTAAAGAAGGTATTTGAATTTTTAATAAGTTTTTAGCTTAAATTTCCATTTTTTTGTTATATATACTTAAAGTAAGCATTTTTGTTTATTAGTTTTTTATTTATTTCCTACAATGCTTTCTTTATCAACATTACATATTTCTGTTTTATATTTTAGTTTCCTACTTCTTATTACTTTGGAATTCCCTTTTTTGTGAAATTGTGAGTTTTTTTTTTTTTCTACATGGCTTTTGTAGCTTTTGAGTAGGGGTATTGTAGTATTTCAGGAAGAGTTAAAACAAATCATATATAATTCACATCTTTCAGTTTTTGTGTTAATATTGTTAAGCAGGTGGTTGTAATCGATCCATCATACATTATTTCTTAGTCAATTCTTTGCTGATTCATGTTGAATGCTCGACTTTTTTTTTACATGAATCGGTGAAGAATGAACTAACAAATAATGTATCGTGGATTGACTACAACTGCCTGATTAACAATACTAAATCAGATCTTTTCATGTCAGTGTGTTTTTTGTTTAAATGCTTTAGTTTATTGTTAATTACATATAGTGCTATGAAAGAGAACTATGATGGAAAAGTTGTGATTTACTATATATATGAGCAGCCAGGGTGTTTGATGAAGGGGAGTAGATAACTTATTAATTTAAACTACTTTGTCAACATAAGGTTGTATATTTACTTGATATACATGTAGATTGTAGTTTTTTGATTTTAAAAGAAATTTTGATTTAGGTTTTTACACTGACTTACCAGTACCTTGTGTTCTTTGCTGATGTATATGTATTTGGCTTTTTTCTTAAAGGAAGATGAATTTGAAGGATTTAATTTTGAAGAGCAAAGGCGAGCTGAGCTTAGAAAAAAGATGAAAAAGAAAAAAGAAATGGCAATTATTACTCGACCAGGTATTCAAGGCAATTATTTTCAGTTGCGAAAGAAACCTAGACAAGTGTCTGGGTCATCTTGCTCTTCCTCTGAAACTTCAGATTCTTCAAGAGGACGTTTAGGTATGAGACACTTAGCAAGGAAATCTTATGATAAAATGATAAAGGAAGGCTTATGCATATCTTATGACATGTTAGGAGCAACTGTAGATCATGATAAAAAGACACAGTGTGAATCCTTGGTTTGTAATACAAAATTGTTTTCAACTGATGACAGCAAAAATATATATGAGATTTCTTCTCAAAAAAGCAGAGCTGAAAAAACATTAATATGTGAAATAGAATCATTACCTATTACAAAACCCCATAGAAGACATTCTAGTAAAACATTGGCAAAGAGGCTATTAGATCGAGCCAAAAAAGGTCAGTCCTTAAGTGAAAAATGTGTTTTATCAAAATCATGTAATACTGTGCTACGGTGTTTAAGAGATCAAACAATAAGAAAACGTCATTCTGCTTCTAGGAAGCTGAGTGCTACAAAACAACAGAAAGAAAAGTCTGAAGCAAGAATGCAGAAATACAATCATCCTATTACATTAGAAAAGAAACGTGGACGTAAGAAGTCTTCAGAAAATCTTTATAAACAAGAGAGGTTATCAGTCTCTCCTGTTTTAGATTACCCTGCATCCTATAAGAAGAAAACATTTACAATTCCATCAGTTAGTGCTAACTCTGCTAGAAAAATTATTCCAAGAAAGAGATTTTTAGATGAATTTGATTCACCAGTACAGTATTCAGTAAATAAAAAACCAAGATTTCAGAGCAAAAACTTATCAACCACACATATGTCTTATCCTTATGTTTCAAGTAAGAAAGTACTAGATGAAATTGATGATTCAAAGAAGATAGGTTTGCTTGATCAGCCATTGGTGCTAGAAGGAAAAAGACCTTGGAAACCCAGTCTAAAAGTTCAGATGAAGCTCTCTGAGATGAGCTATGATTCTCCTTTTGGATTAAAAAAATCAGAAGGAGACAGTTCTGGTACCTCTTCAGGTTCGTTTAAAGATTTGATAAAGCGAGACATGGTCAGTAAGTATGCAGATATTATGGCAAAAAAAACGAGAGAAAGGGCTAAGTCGTGTGGTCGTCAGGATGGTTATAAGAAACTTTCAAAAGAGAAACCAAAAAAACAAATGAAATCCAAATCTAATATACCAACAACAAAAGAATGTGATGTCAATAAAGTTAAAAAGGTTGAAGAAAATAGACTAGAAGATAAAGTTGCAGCCAAAATTGAAAAGATATTGAAATCCCAGTGGGAAGGAAGATTGCATCAGTCTTCTGATGGAATCTCAGGTGAATTAAACACTAATACTATTTTGTCATCAAAGCATACATCATCTAACTTGATTATTGGTTCAGCTGAACAGCAAAAAATTTCTTCACAAGAGACAACTAAAGGAATATTAAGAAAAGCTCGTTTACAACTTAACAAGAGGACATTAATGAAGTTGAGACAACCAGCTAGTATTAAGAAACTAAGTGAACAGTTTCAGAGAGAGAGTGATGAAATTCCAAGACTTTCTTCCAGTAAGATTGTACCGATACCTTTATCTCCTGTAGAAGTGATAAACAAAATCAAAACATCAGAAACAGGTCATAGAATTATTACTGTACCTGTGATGTCCACTAAACTTCAACCAAAGGTGGAAACTTTGAAATCATTTTCACCAGATTCATCAGTGTCACATGTTGCATCCAATGCAGAATTACTTCATTCTACAGTGAACCGTGATGCTTCTTTTCTTGTACAGTCTTCAAGGTCGGAATCTTCCAAAACCTTTGTAAATGACTCCATGCAGCATAACACATTGATTCCTAGTGGGGTTCCTCTCTTACCACAAGCATCTCACACATCTGAAGAGCCACCTAAGCTTGTAAAGAACAATCATTCTACTGGAACGAAGTCCCAAGGTAAATAATCATTCTGTATGCTATTAATAATACTAAAGGTTGGATGAAATTCATATACAGTACTGCCTCATTATAATGCTACCATTTGCACCCTATAGCAATATAGGTGGGGGAGCATTACAACCAACTAGTCAAAAAGGCACCCATGCTGAACAGACTACTAAAGCAATCAGTTAAATCAAATAACTGCTTATTTACATAGAGAAAATAGATATAAAAAGAACATAGATAAGATAAAATATGAATACAAACTTTCCAGTATTTTAGAAACGAAGCACACTTATGTTCACTTATTTGCTTAAAAAGTCTGATACTTTGGTCTGCTTCATTTGGTTTCAAGCCTCTTTTTGAATGTGTTTAGTCAAACATGATGCAGGGAGAGGTGGTCTCATCTGTAAACAATTCTTAGAACTTCTTAACCTCTCTACAAAGTTAAACCATTTTTTCTTTAATGATTTCATTTATGACCAGATACGTGGAATTCCTGGTGGGTCCAATGATAGCCAATGGTTTTATATGCTACCATTAATACAAGTGGGTAGAAAACTGCCCATGTGACATTAAGCCTGTCCTTTACAAATGCTATATCAAGGACATTTTCTTGTTATTTCAACAATTGAGTGACATTTCCAAATTCCTTTCTTACCTTAATTCCCAATATCAAGTTCACATCAGAACTTGATATTCACATCTCTGGGCTTTGAACTCGGGACTTCCCACTTTTTTCCCTTTATTTTATGACAGAGTGTAATAACTTTAGCCACCGAAACCACGTTGGAATGAGCTTAGCAGCAGATGATACTAAATTTATGAAAGCCAAGGCACCACATTCTTATATCTGAGAAAGCATTATATACAATGGTGTTGTAATGAGGCAGTACTATATTTACTAAACATTTCATCTTTATTATCTTTTCTTTCGGAAAATATATAAGTTATATTGCAGTGTTTGCTTCATGTACATGATGTAGTTGTGTAGGTTTAACTACATTGTATTCAACCAAGGTACACACATTAAGATTTCTAAAAGAATATTATTTAACCTTCACTGTTAAGTTTCTACCAAGTCTTTTTCCTAACTTCTTGCATCAAGGTTATGTTGTTAGAGTTGTGTCAAAATTATAATGTTGAAACAGAAGTTTTGAAATTATGTTAAAATTTTTACTGAGTCAGAAGTTGTTTGATATTTAGGTGCATTGTTTGTAAAAGTCTTGGGCTGGCATTTATCTATAAAATAAGTTTCCATTAAAATGAACCATTTTTTTTTGGTACAACTTCTCTGGATGAACAACAAACAAATTAAACAAAATAAATGACCCAGAACACAAAATTGTACCTATATAATAAAACCTCACTCAATAACTCTTAAATTAATAAAAAATAATATCTGTTTGATAATACAACATATACAAACTCCATCATTAATTATAACTCAATACATCTAACAGTTTCAAACAATATTCAGTTTATTCTGTATGTTCTCTAGTGTCTATATAGTCTTATTATACGAGAAATACATAATTTAATTTTGACTTTATTAACAATATTCTGTTAGTAATGTTACAAAAAAGGGGTAAATATTTTTAGTTATAATCAAAAATGAACAAGTTGAAATTGAAAAATTATGAAATTTTTCAAAGAACTTAAAATTTTCTAAAGTTCCTTTTAAAACTTCAGTGACATTTTTACTCTGAAAATTAGCTCGTTTGTTTCATGAGCAAGTAACATCAAATAAGTTTTCCTTGTCTACATCTGTGCATGATTCGAAAAGATGAATTGACAGTCTGATTTTGAAAAATTTTGAATTTGTGTATGTATAAAACGTTTTATCCATTTGTGGAAACACATCTGAAGAGCCACCTAAGCTTGTAAAGAACAATCATTCTACTGGAACGAAGTCCCAAGGTAAATAATCATTCTGTATGCTATTAATAATACTAAAGGTTGGATAACTTTTT